TTCCCCTCTCCGTCTGCGTCTTTCGGCCGTCTCACGAGCAGCAGATTCCCTGTGGTGCCTGCCCGGCCCTTTCCCCACCTACTGCGTGGTCCTCTTGGCCATCCTCCCGCTGCCGCTGCTGCCGGTCATGCTGAGCAAGGCGGCGGCGAGCGGGCAGCCGCATCACTTCGCTGTCCTCCCGCTGCTGCTGCCGCCACTGCACGAGGAGACCTTGGGCTGTGAAGGCGACGGGACCGGTGGCAGGCCGGGATGTCCCTGTGGCGGCATCCCCCCTTGCCGGCACAGCCGCCCATGGTACACCGGCCTTGGCGCCCTCCTCTTACGATGGCAAAGTGGCTGAGGACGAGGCACGGGTGGCAGCCGGGCCGCGCGGCCAGAGCTGCTGCCTCCCATTCTGCTCCCCCTCCCCCTGTTCGGCTGAGAACGTGGCGGCCAAGCCGCACCACCACCACCGGAGCCACTGCTTCCCATCCTGCTCCCCCTCCCCATCTGTTCATCTTAGAACGCGGTGGCCGTGCCGTGCCACCGCCAACCGAAGCCGCTGCCTCCCGTCCTGCTCCCCCTCCCCGCCCGTTCAGCTGAGAACGCGACAGCCGGGCTGCGCCACCACCACCGGAGCCGCTGCCTCCCATCCTGCTCCCCCTCCCTGCCCATACTTTGTATAAATTGGAGTTTTGTGCCACAGGCACTTTGCTAAATTCATTGTTAGCTATAATCTTTGGCAATTCCCAGTTCACCAGGGTAATTTCATTGCTATTAAGACACTGTGCTCCTGCACAAAAGATTAATGGCATAAGGGAGCTTTATTGGTGTTCTTCCTCATGTTTTCTCTAAACATCCTATATAACTGGGAAGGAAATCTTTGATCCTCCAAATAGGATTGAACTACAACTCCCAGAGTCCTATCAGCAGGTGTTATAGTTCAGCAACATCCAAGTCAGTTCCTCAGCTCACTTTTCAGTGCAGGATTATATTGCTCACAAACATCACACTGTCCTCTAAGATTACCGGAAGATGCATCTAGTTTGTGCCTCTTCTTTTCATGTTACTGTGTCAGCCATACAACACAACATCATATAGATCAGGATTACTTTTACCGAGAGAGAGAGAGAGAGAGAGAGAGAGAGAGAGAGAGAGAGAGAGAGAGAGAGGAAAGAGAAAGAGAGAGAAGATAGAGAGAGGAAAGAAAGAGAGGAAAGAGAGAGAGAAGGAGAGGAAAGAAAGAGGAAAGAGAAAGAGAGAGAGAAAGAGGAAAGAGAGGGAGAGAAGAGGAAGAGGAAAGAGAGAGAGGAAAAAGAGAGGGGGAGAGGAAAGGGAAAGAGGGGGAGAGGAAAGAGAAAAAGAGAGGAAAGAGGGAAAGAGAGGAAAGAGAGAAAGAAAGAGGGGGAGAGGGAAGAGGAAAAGGAAAGAAAAAAGAGAGAAAGAGAGAAAGAGAAAGAGGAAAGAGGAAAGAGAGGAAAGAGAAAGAGGAGAGAGAGAAAGAGAGAGGAAAGAGGGAAAGGGAAAGAGAGAAAGAGAGGGAGAGGAAAGAGAGAGAAAGAGAAAGAGGGAAAAGAGAAAGGAGAAGAGAAAAGAGAAAAAGAGGAAAGAGAGAAAAAGGGAGAGGAAAGAGAGAAAGGGGGAGAGGAAAGAGAGAAAGGAGGAGAGAAAAGAGAAAAAGAGAAAAGATGGAAAGAGGAAAGAGAGAAAGAGGGAGAGGAAAGAGAGAAAGAGAGGGGGAGAGAAAAGAGAAAAAGAAGAAAGAAAAAAGAGGAAAGAGACAGAGAGACTCTTTTGACATCTAAAATGAAGATAACACTGCATATATCCTTTTTTACTTTTATTTTACACACACACACACGCACACACACACACACACACACACGCACACACTAAAGGTAAAAAAAGATATATGCAGTATTATCTTCATTTTAGATATCAAAAGGGTTTTGTGGCTCCCGGTGTTTTGTTTTTGGTGGGAAACGGGTCCAAGTGGCTCTTTGAGTGTTTTGGGTTGCCTACCCCTGGTCTAGAACAATGGTGACATTAGATCACTAGAGTCATCTCCAACAATGTTAATGTTTAACTACTTAAACATTAGGGCTTTTTTAAAAAAAGAGAGCGGAGGGGAGGGGGGACTTTAACTACCCTGTCTATACCAAGTGGGAGATCAAATATATTCCTGACTAACCTAGCAGATAACTTTGTCATCTTAAAGGAAGAGGGTCGGCTATACTGGACTTAATTTTTACTAACAGGAATGAAATGATAGACAAGGTTGAAGTTATAACCATGACATATTGGCATTCAATTCACAAATAACTAAACAAAGTCAAACTAGTGTCTTAGACTAAGGACTGATTCAACAGTTCTCTAGAGAGGGCTTAGGGAGTATTTCCATAGATGGAAATCTTAAAGGGGATAACAACTCAAGATGCTTGAGAAACTGAAAAATGAGATTATAAAAGCCCAGTCTAGCACAATACCATTGAGAAAGAAAAATAAGAAATCCCAGATGAAACCAGCATGGTTTGATAAAGAATTCTCTGATAAATTAAGAGGCAAAAACAATAATATGAAAAATGGAAAGAGTACAAATAACTAAAACAGAATACCAGCAAATATTCTGAATCTGAAAAGATGAATACAAGAAAGCTAACACTTAGAATGAACTACTTGCAACAAATGCCAAAAAATAATTTTTAAAAGTTTCTTTTAATAAGTAAAAAACAAGAAAAAAAGTCAAGAGAACAATCAGTCCACTAATGGAAGAAGACAGCAAGGAGGTGATGGATCGCAGGGAAAAAGCAGAACTGCTTAATTCATTTTTTGTACCTGTCTTTACCCAAAAAAGGAAAAAAACAGACCAACCTATTAAAAACAGCACTGTACAGAATCGGAATATAAGTAGGATAGGCAAGAAAATGTTAAGAGAATGCCTATCCACTCTTAGGCTTGGGAGGTAGAGTCTGGAATTTTATTAGAAAATTGTGTCATCGTGTGAAACATATTTAAGGCTTTCAGAGCAATATTCACTTTTTCCCACTTCAGCATGATGCAAAACTGTACCATTGATTTTTGGCAATTATAATTAAACACACACACACACACACACACATTTCCACCCAAATGGAAGCAATACATGACACTAAAGTCTCAAACTGCTTATTTCTTATTTGAAATTATATAGATAAAAAGGAATGAGAAATACAAAAATAAATGTAAAGATCTAAATAGCCACATATTCACTGATTATAAGGAACTATTATCAGCTATGTTGTGCCTCCATAATCAATATTGGATAGACATCTTGCTGAAATGATTTCCAAGCCATATCCAAACTAGGCTGAAAAAGGCCTATGACTACTACTATCATCTACCTCAGGGGTCCCCAACCCCGGTCCGTGGACCAGTACCGGCCCACGGCATGCCAGCAACCGGTCTGCACAAACAAGCAAAGACCCATCTGCAAGATGCAGGCAGCACACAAAACCATGCACCCTCCGTTCCACGGAAAAACCTCTCTCCACGGAACCGGTCCCTGGTGCCCAAAAGGTTGGAGACCTCTGGTCTATCTCAAAAAAAATGAATGAGAAACAATGTACAACAACTTTTCATTCTCCAAGTGACTTCCACACACATGTAACTGCTAATTAAGTCCTTCAACATCCCAAAGCAAATGTAGCAGTACAGCCAGGTATTCCTGATCCTGCCATCCTATGTGAAGTAGGAAGATTAGTCTCTGACAGTGTGGTCACATTCTATATATCTGGAAGGATATAGACTTCTGTAAAACCTTTCTGGGACTTCTTCAAATATTATTTCTTTTATTTATGAATCTGTGCAATCCATGAATGAGGATGCGCCAATTATTTACCACTATCTTACTTTTGTAGTCTGTTTCTAAACTGGTAGAAGCTCACACCAAGGAGGAATGGTCTGTTTTTCAAACTGTACAACTGGCCTATAAACAATAAAGCACTCCACTCATGATACTTTTTCATGATTGTTTTATAACATTTAACAGAAACCAGCGTAAGTGCAAACATTCTCAGTTCTATTGCCAGATACGTTTTTGTGTCTTGGATGCATTAATGATTAACTTGATTTTCTTCTTCTTCTTCCTCAAACACATTTTGAATGCATGAGTAATTATACAGAAACTCCAGCTAAACTCCAGCTCTTACTTCTTATTTCACTCTTCCACTAGGAGACACAGGCATGAAATATATAGTAAACAAAGACTGCATTCCTTCAGAAAGGTGTGCCAGAAACCCAAGATAGCTGGTGAAAGCTGAGAATATGACTTGCTTAGCTCCTTTTCTTGTTCTTTATTACCCTTTAGACATCAATACAAGGAAAAGTAATTTCTTTAAGTTTTGAAACCTATTAGCTTTGTCACAACATGCCTATGAAAGGTAGATCTGAAACAACTTTAAATATAGTGTTCCTTTCTTTCTTTACACAAAGGGATTTAATAATGATTGCTTATACCAACCTTCATTATTTTTCCACATAAAATATTTAATATTTAAAGCCTATCTTGCTCTAACCTTTGAAAGTGTAATCAAGTTAGTCATTGCAAAGCTGATTTACTGGGGACACAATTTGGCTGAGGAGTGTTTTTAGTGGAATCATGCAATAATTATATTTTTTGCAAAACGGTTCAGTGCAGTGGACTGACAAAACAACTATCACACATGCAATGAATTCCTTTTAGAAAATGCTACAGTAAAAGGATTTCTTTTGAAGCAATACTATTTGCAACAATATAAAACAATGGGTTAGAAGAACTAGTCGTGAATGATCAGATGCCTGTTTAATATATATCATTGTTTTTTTTATTAAAAAAACAACAACCAAAAAGCATATCAGAAATGTACTGTTAAATGTTGCCTTTGTTCTTCATTCAGAGAGTTTACCAGCAAGTATTCATATAGCTCCAGGCAAAACAAGGCACCCCAGCACAGTTTTATGAGGTTAAATTCATCAACAAAACAAAAACCTAAACATGTACATACCTGCAGGAAAGCTGGAAGAATGGATGTTCTGGCTGAGAAACAGAGTTTGAAAATCCAGACTTACTTCCCATTTCATATATTGGAGTCACATTTCTTTCATATTCCAAATATTAGAGGTGTGGTATTAACACATACATCCATCTGTAGAGAAATCGCTCAGCAACCAGCCAAAGAAAACCCAAGTGCATTCGGAGCCGGTCTTGGGATTCTGCTGCATTTCTGACTGCTTCTTCCTGAGCAGCAAAATTTCCCACAATCAAATCCCTCCTAAATAGTACCCATCACAAAATCAGAGATGTCTAATTTCTCAAGCAGGAACAAACAGCAGCTCATTTCCAAGAGGATAAACAAAAAACAAAAAAACCACCCTTATACAGTATTCTTTTTGCAAAGATGGGACACAGAATGCTGCCGGGAGAGAACAAGGACGAGAGAGAAAAAGAGCGAGAGCCCCAGTATCTTAAACAGCAGCCTGATTTGGCGGTCAGCCAACCACCAGCATAACTTATTGCCAATGCTGCAAATCTCCCCTATCAGCTAATGAAGATCAAGACTGCAGGTGAAAGATGGTTTTTCTCTCCAGGACAAGAATTCCCCTGGAAACAGAAAGACATGACCTTGAATTTTAGAAAGGAAATAGTTTGTAAACAAAATAAATAAATAACACCTAATGGTACTATGTATGCTGTTGTTGTCACCGATCTATTGTTTCTACATACTCATTAGCAATATAAGGATTCCTTCGGCTGAGCCAAGTATGTTTAAAATACCAATTCTTCAGTCATATAAATCAATGTGTGCATTTTTACAGATTTTATGTAAATTTGTGTTTTATATATATATATATTGCTGTACTTCATATATATATATATATAGCATATATATATATATATATATATATAGCATATATATATATATATATATATATATATATATATATATATATATATATATTCATTCATTTGAATTGGAGATAAAATTAAGTGCGAAATTAAAGTTTGCCTTCTTTGAAATGTCTCTATTTTTGTATCTCTTCAGAGGAAAATAAAAATAAATTGAACTATCAACAGAAAGTATCAGCCACAACCGCTTATCCCTCTCCCTCAATCTTTTCTGCATTATCCACTGCCTGTAAAACTTTGGGATCGTGGAAATGGTGGGGTCACACTGTACATGATTACGTTATTATAAAAAGAGGCCAGATGTAATATGCTAAGTAGAAAAACATTATCAAAACACTCCTTAAAAAAATTATACAGAATACAAGCAGGAGGATTTATTGTGGGGTGGTCTGTGGATTGAAAACAGCACACTTAAATTAATAGAGACAACAGTAGATGCTATGCATGAGGATTTGTTTAATAGCAAATAACTGCAACTCAAAAGAGCAATGGTGCAATGAAGACTATGAAGTACAGCAATGAAGTATCACAAAGAGAGAATTTGGTAAAAACTGCCATGCATGCCTTTCACATATTCCCTGCACCCAATATATGTCATTGAACCTACAAGGTACGGTAATATTGTGGCATCCATTTATTTGCATACAAGGGAGAAAGGACTGCATTGCTGAAAAATATTTGGCATAACTGTAAGTAATTCCTTTGGCAGGAATGTCTCCACCTTCACACTATTTTTCAGAAGTCTAACATCCTTCCCATGCCAGTGAATAGAAACTTCCATAAGAAAAAATGTCTATAATGGAAATTTGCTTTTGTGGTTTGAGTACTCTCCGTGAATGATCTCTCTGAAAATGTTTGTGTCAGGGAAAAATGCGACAAATACACATAGTTTCCAGAGAGAAATAGATAAGGAGAAGCTACTCTCAATATTTGCAGTTACAAACTGATCATGCTCACAAAGATCCATTTTGTAATATTTTATAATATTCAGTTTTCTGAAAATGTTGAAGTAGCTATGGCCTAATATCATTAAGGATCCGACCTTAGTTTTCTTTCTATCTTGGGATTTCACTACAGGGTCTATCTGTTCTGTCAGTGTCTTCACCTGGTCTTTTGACAAACAATAACTTCTCTGAGAGGATCATGTTATTTAAAATTATCCAAGATAGAAAAAGAATTGAAAAAAAATCCCAGAAAATGTTATGGCAAGCAATTTCTTTAAATTCTAAATCTACTCAATTCATCTACCATTCAACATACAAACATACAACATAAAAAAATCAATAACAAACTAGACAAGAAAAGAAAGATGGTCACCCTGCTGGAATAAGCATCCACTAGACCAAGGGTCCCCAACCTATGGTCCGCAGCCTGCTACCGGGCCATGGCCTATTGACCACCAGACCATGAGAATAGCTGGCGAGCCACCCCACTCACAGTAGCGCTGCCTCACAGGCGCTAACAGCCCCATTTGCACATATGCAATGCGCTAGCATCACTACCAGTGTCATGTAGGTGCCAGCAGCTCATTTGAGCAGGCACCAGAGGCATTTATGCATGTGCGTGGGTGCTAGCGCACTACCGTGAGCGTGCATAGTCTACTTATATATGCATGTGTGCTAATGCCATTGCCGCGCACATGCCTGTTTGTGTGTGTACACACACACATTTCCCTGCTCCTCTCTTTCCAGGCTGCCAAGCTGGAAAATTTGGGGAGCTCTGCATTAGAAGAAGACCTCATCCCAGCCTAGTCCAGAGTTTGGGGAAATCCATTATCTTCAAAGCATGTTTAAAGGAGACCACATTTTGCCTTTTTGGGGGGATACCGTTCCAGAGGACAGACAAAAATACACCACACTTGTGCAAGTTCAGCTGCGTACGCATGTTCATGTGCGCCAGCCTGCCGCTCATGCAACTTGAGCTGTGTGTGCACATATGTATGTCAGCCTGCTGCTCATGTAGCCTGGTTCCCTTCTCCTCCCTGCCGGGTCACCAAGCCACAAAGGTTGGGGACTGGTGCCCTAGCGCATGCCAATCTGCTTGGTTACATCAGCTGTGGTGGTATACAGTGGTTAGAATGCGGTATTGCAGGCTAACTCACTGCCAGGAGTTCGATTCTGACCAGCTTAAGGTTGACTCAGATTTCCATCCTTCTGAGGTCGGGAAAATGAGGACCTAGATTGTTGGGGACAATATTGTGATTCTGTAAACCACTTAGAGAGGGCTGTAAAGCACTATGAAGCAGTATATAAGTCGAAACGCTAATGCTACATTTTGGGCAGAAACAATGAGAAAAACATGGGCCCTCAAATAAATGGGTCCTATGCCTTGTAGGACTTTGTAGGTGACAACCAGCATCTTGAAGAATATTCAGAAGCACCCAGGTAACCAGTGCAGCTCACAGAGCAGAGGTGTCACATGGATGTACAATATAGCATACTCCAAACAGGACCACATCTCTAGTTTCTGAACCAACTGAAGCATCTAAGTCAGGGGTGTCAAACTGCCGGCCCACGGGCCGGACGTGTCATCCCAAAACCACGCCCACCCCATTGCCGGCAATGGAGAAAAAGCTCCAATACATTGTGCGACGTCACATGAAGTCACGAGTTTGACATTCCTGATCTAAGTGATCTTCAAGGACAGCTTCAAATACACCATGCTGCAGTACTCTACATGTGAGATAATCAAATTGTGAGTGATGGAAAAAAGGGCCTCTGAGTCCAGGAATGGGCACAGTTGTTACTGAAGACAAATCTATGAAAAAATCTTTCTGACCCACTTATTATCTGCTCTTTGAGCAGGACTCCAGGAAGACTCCCAAACTGCACATCACTTCCATATGAGGGTGTGCAACCCCATTCAAAGATCTTTTAGGTAATAGATCAAGAAGCGAAGGAAGGGAAAACGCAAGTAAGTAGTCCCCAATTTACAACAGTTCATTTTGTGACCATTCAAAGTTACAATGATACTGAAAAAGTGACTTATGCCCTTTTTTCACACTCACGTGTTGCAGCATCCCCATGGTCACATGATCAAAATTCAGACACTTGGCAATAGACTCATATTTATGACAGTTGCAGTATCCCTGATAACCTTGGCTAAAGCCAATGGCGAAGCCAGATTCACTTAACAGCTGTGTTACTAACTTAACAGCTGCAATGTTCACTTAACAAATGTGGCAAAAAAGATCATAAAAAGGGGCAAAATTCACTGTCTCAGCAACATAAATATTTGGGCTCAATTGTGGTCATAAGTCAAGGACTACCTGTATTGGAACTATGGATTTCAACTTTGATCAGAGAGCCTTAACATGAAAGATGTTGCAGCTATAATTGGAAATATTTCAAAATTTATATACAGATATTTATACTGAAATTAGTTTGCAATTAGTCTGGCTCATAATATATAATGCATGTTGATGTTCTATGTTTACTCTTGAAAACACATCCAGCTATTGAAATAAATTAATTGAACTCAACTTGTTGCAATATGTTGACATTCTTTTGAAGGTATTATTTGGTTATCCCAAACTACCTAATAATCACTTTCCTAATAGGCAGCGATGCTGTACCAATGGAAAGCAAATTATTCAGAAGGCATGACTAAAGAAGGAGGATAGAACTATAAGACTATAATTTTCTTTATGGATTCCCTTCTAGCACTGGTGATGCTACCTAGTTAGGGTACCGAAACATCTGCAAGAAAACAAGCAAGCTCAGAGAGCACCAAGGACCCCCCCACCCCCACCCCCCGGATTCCCTTCTCTCCATTTATATTACTGCAAAAACATATTTTCTTTAGAGTAGTCAGCCAGTCTTGTAATTGCTGTAATCAAGGACAACATTCTTTCTGAGCAATGATACAATTAAGAAAAGTATGACAATTTGTTATAAAGTGTATAAATAGATTTCTATTAAATGTGTTTCTTTTACAAAAAAGCAAATGTAGGTAGCCCTCAACTTACAGCCATTTGTTTAGCAACTGTTCAAGTTTACAACCACGGGAAAAAAGTGAGTTAGAACTAGTTTACACACTTATGACCATTGCAACATCTCATGGTCACCTGATCAAAATCCAGACTCTTGACCGCAGGAATGTATTTACAACAGTTACAGGGTCCTGAGGTCACGTGACCACCGTTTGTGACCTTCCCAGATGATAAGCAATGTCAGCGAGGGAAGCTGGGTTTGCTTAGCAACTACATGATCGACTTAGCAACCGCAATGCTTTACTTAATGACCATGGCAAGAAAGGTTGTTAACATTGGGCACGACTCACTTAACAACTGCCTTGCTTAGCAGTGGAGATTCTGGTCCCAATACACACTACCTGTGTTCTTTTTCATGCACTTGCTGCAACATTCTATTGCTCTAATAATAAAAGTAGTTTTATATTCATGACTCAAACACCAGAGTCATGAATGCTAAAAACTACTTTTGCTAGAGGGTCTGGTCTACCTCAAAGAGCTGATACCAATTTTGCAGCTCTTGATGTGTCTCTCTCGCCCCCCCCTTCCTTGTCTTTATTCTAGGGTAAG